TATATACATACGTATATGTGTGTACGACTGTGTATGCGGATTTGTGTACATGAGTACACATGTCTGCTTGTTGGATTGGGAAACTCGAATTCTATTTGAATTACCCGAATGAACGGGCGAGTAAGTTGCAGTCGCCCAATTGAATTGTTTCATTCCGATACAATAACCTCTAGACTGTTCCGTTAACTACCCACATGGCTTCCGTTTCGACAAACACAATCACAACACGAATGCGAATGCGAACGAATGGGCGGCATGGAGCTTCAGGACCCTGTTCCTGTTCCTGTTCCTGATTTCGATTCTGTGTSTAAACGTGGGCGTGGGCGTGGGTGCGTGGTTGTTTTCAAAATGACGACGGACGCGGACACACCCTCATCTGCACATGCAGCCAGCATATCGTAAGTGTGTATTATCGTTTGTCCTGCTTTCGCTGGCTTGCGAATCGCTCGGCTGAATATCGGCATTAGATAGAGATAGCCATACATATATACTGTAAAGTACGATTTCCATTTTTGCACAAAATGTTTACAGAATGCATATGAAAATGATTACTAATAGGCGAGTTGCTACAGTCCCATCGAATTGACACTTTCTTGCGGGCAAAAGTTGATTTCTTTTCCGATTTAGATTTTTGATGTAACTCACAGTTACAACCTAGAATTAAAAAAAAGAAAATTACTAAGTAGGAGTGTTTAACTTTGTGATGATATCTTCTTTTCATTAAATCCGATCATAATGGTCTATGTTTCTAACGAAAAAATTTATGTGTGGCAGGAATATTTCATAAATCTGACCCCGTCGGGTCGTGCCACATCAGCTATTTAATTTCACATTAAAGTAATCCATATACTAGATATCCGCAAAATATATAATTTCTAAATGTTCTTTAAATGAAATTAAATTATATATTAAATATATACAGTGTCTAACATCAACTTCAAACGATGAGGTATATATCAATATAGTACGTTTAACATAAGTAACAAAATTTATATCTGTTATTCGATGGAATAGCTAGCGAACCTCAGATATTAAATTATAATTCAACCCGCTTTTGAAGCTAAGGTCCCTAATTTTTGCATTTCGATTTATTTCATATCAGTCCATGACAATAAATTTTGACATCCATATAAATCTTAAAGCTCTAAAGCACCGAGTGAATGCGTGTGAAATGTGAAATGTTCACGTCTTAGACCTTTCGAATAGATATTTAAATTAATACTCACACATAAACCCTATGTCAATTTTAAATGTGTAATAAATAAACAAATATTGAATAGAGAATGTATTTGGATTATTTGCTGAAATTAAAATCATATTCATTGAAATTCGTTAAGAAAACTCACCTGGTAGCATGTCTGTAGACATGTGTGCACATGTTATCTCTCTTGAATTGGGTGTGCATTGTACTTTAGTTTAGGTTTGCTACTTTGCACTGATCACTGATATACACATATATATAACTATAAAAATACTGAAATTGCCATGTGTTAAACTAATCTCTTTCACCACTACCAGTTATATATATATATATA